GCAAAATAGTATAGGACTTTTCTATTCAGTTTGCCCCGGTCTATCTGCCATCTACAGGACATACGGGTATTAGGACACACCCTGTATATAACATATATATTTTAAAATATATGTAATATATTACATATATTTTTAAATATATTTTTACATGTATATTTTTTCATGGGGGAGTATATCTAAAAAATAACCTAATTTAAACATCAATTCATTTGAAAAACAGTATAATAAAATATATCTGTAAATACTATAACTCACTGATATCACTAGATGACTAGATGTTTTCTTTATTGTATAATCTGGTACTTTATTTTTCTCATCTGAGCACGATTCTTTCTCGACGAGTGAAGAAAACTTACGACGAACTCTAGTTTCTAAACACGAATTTTTACTTTCCGTGTGGCACATTTTTTCATTAGAACTGGAGGAATTGATCACTGGACATTCGTACGTGGCAATTATGTTGGTATCCAATGACGCGGATGTACTACTCATTGTCAGATCGGGAACATTATCGGAAAACAAGTTAATGTCCGGAAATTTATCTAACGCCACTTTCTTCGAGCATTCGTCGTCGTCGGATAGTTCCATATCAACCATATGCCTGCTGTGGCGTGATCTTTTCAAAGTATCTTCCACATCCGTATCCAGATCAGAGGCCTTTTCTGCTAATTTTAACTTATCCATACCTTTCTCAAAGGTGTCTAAAATAAAATGTAATACCATTTTGCAAAGCAAACATACGGAATAATACGTAAGTATAATGTATTTGTGGCATATAATATTGATGATTTGTGTGCAAGATGATTTTTATAAATACATTTTGTTTGTTTTTATCACATTTTATGAACTTTATTTACTCGCAAGGACAATAAGGGAAAAATAAAAAATCACTTGATTAAGAATATGTATAGTTACCAGCTGATGCGAAGTAGCGTACAATATCGCATAAAATCCATTTGGCTGCCGTGATTTTCAATGCAGGTTGTAACGATGCCTTCACCGCTTTATTCATCTCTGATTTAGAATATCCCGTTGGATAAAAGCACACAGTTTATACGAGATGTTATCAATTCTTACATAAAATGCTTGAATTTCTGTTAAAGAAGGACCCACTACAAGAATAAACGGTTGCAAGGTTAATCCAAATTTTTTAAGCGTTTCCCTCTTTTTGTCTATCTCCTCTTCCACATCACCAGGAATCTAAAATAATGCAATACTTGAACCTCAGTTCTGAGAGAAAGAGAAAGAACTTTATTTTATTTAAATTTGAAATACCTTGATATGAAATATTAAGCTTTCTTGTGATTCAACTTGGGTTGGTTTAAAAAAATTCTTCCCAACTTTCACTTTTGAGGACTTATTTGGTAAAAGCGAAAATAATATGTAGATTTTAATTAATATCTTCGAATCTAAAACAAAAATTATTAATAGACAATTAAATAAATTATTAACAAGATAATCTTCAGGGTTGCCAGCAATAATTAAATAAATTATTCCCTTTTTCAAATATTACCATTTGAAATATTGCCATTTAACATATCTAGCAATAATTTGTTGGAACAATCCAATTCCTTGCTTCTTAAATGCAGCACAGCATCGAATAAAGCATGAAACTTTTCTTGAATGTTTTTATACTTTTCTGAGTATAATCGTAAATAATTCTTTTCAATCTGTAATTAAAAAATTAGTTTAAATTTGTAAGATTTTTACTTCACAAATAGTGTTCTGTGAAATTACAAGGCAACAGTAAAAATATGTTAAATAAATTTTAGTAAATAATATGTTAGATACTAAGTTATTCACCGACACATAAGCCATTGAAGATGTCAATATATTCCAATCGTCAAAAAGTGAACATAAATTTGGATAAATTGTACCATCATGTATTAATATTTTTCTAAGTAAAAATGATTTTTCCCAATGACACAATACCTCTTCCCAAGGTTCGAAATTATTTTGAAGCCAATCATGACTCCGCTCTGCCTCCTCACGTTTGGCAGTATCTTTTATAAATATAAAAAACAGTAATTAAATATAAAACAAATTATAAAAATATGATCTTTACACCAACCTTTGTCAAAATTGCCACCATCTTCGGAGTTATTTGTTGAGAAAGACGAGTTTGATAAAATCAGTTGATATTTTCTCAAGAACGCTAACATATTTCTATTTTTATCAACTAATTTTCCTTTAGCAATACCGGATTTGTGATTTTTTGAATCTTTCTTTTTCACGGGTGGACAATAATATACTTCCTTACATTCAGCAGGAAAGAGGGTAGTTATATGATCCGCAATCTTGTTTAATTTCTCGTTATTTAATTGAACGCCTAAAAAATTAAAACAAAAGAAAACTAAATTATTACTCTCCTCGTTTTATAAATAAGTTGGCAAATATATATTTATCTATCATTTTGCAAACTACGTAAAATTTGTAATATTATTAGCATTATTAAGCAAAGAAAATTTATCTTTTACATAACAAGTGATTATTAATCTTCTTTAATTAATAACTCAAAAGTATATGTTGTTTGCAACATAATACAGGATTTTTTATTCATTTGAAGAATTTTATTTATTTTTAATTTTCTGTATGCAAAAGGATGTATCAGTCGCGCCAGATATTCTGTATATCAATAAATAGTATAGTGTAGAGAATTTTTTTAATACATGCTCACTTAATATCATTATCAAAAAAGTGGCAGATAATAATGTTTGCCAAATACTGTTGGCATCTCAACGGTAATCCATTCTTTGCGTCATATGAAACTATAATTGCTTGTCCGATTACTGTTTGTTGAAGCAATGCCTTTAAATCAAAACTATTTAACTGTAAAAATGAAAAGTATGGCGATAAGAGAGAGAGAGAGAGAGAGAGAGAGAGAGAGAGAGAGAGAGAGAGAGAGAGAGTAAAAAATATAAAAAATTGTAACTTATGTGCAACAGAACTACTTTCAAGAAACAGATACACATAATTAAAACACAAAATGCTATAAAAAATACATATGTAATACGGTAGTACTTTCGTCGGCTAAAAACTAACTAAATATGTAGATTAATGTTTGTCAATTTATAAGAAACATGTTATGCGAGTGTAGTTAATTTTGATCCACAAAGCAATAAACGGATTATAGATTAAGATACTTTATAACTTGTATTTACATTGAAAGAATATTCCTCATTATTTTGCATTATTAATAGCAGTAGTCACCTATTATAATTCAAGTTCTGGAAAATTTTACATACCGTGTGGTTAACTGCTTCAATCCTTTGTTTTTTTTTGCTGGCTCGTCATTTGTAGTACTTAATATTATAACATCTTGTATGTCATGTGACGTGGTGCAGCTGAAGCGCACCGTCACAAGGGCGGAAGCCCGGTCGGGAGGAGAAACTTGTCGCGATCGGCCTCCGCCGGCGTAGGAAGCGATCCTGCGACAGCGGAGTCACCCCTTTATTAACATAAGACTTAGATTGTTAAGGTCTCGTGAGTGGAGGTCAAGACAGATCTTCAAGATACCGTGAGGAGAGAGAAGAGCCGGAGTGTGCGAGGGGGCGAGAGGCGCCGAGGGAGCCGAATGGCAGGGCCGGTACCGGCAGGAAATCCCGCGATCGCAACGGCCAAGAGTTCAAAATTCTCGCAGGGCCACCACCGAGGTGACTCTATCAGCCCCAAATATCGTGTCATGGGCAGAAAACCTGGTTCAAGATCACGAGAGTCAACGGCTATCTGAATTATTATCAAACACGGGAGCAACCCGAGGTGGAAAGACGTTACCAGGTCGACATCTCACAACATGTTATTCTCCCGGAAACAAAGGAGGTGTTTGCGAGGACCAGAAGTTTGCCTAAATAATGTCGAGACAAGGTGAAAATTAGAGGGGGAACGCGAACCTTCGCTACCCCCGAATCACCATCGAGACGGCACTTCTGGTCGGGACCGTGCCTCGAGAAGACGTGCGATCGGCGACTCGACTACCGTGGTACCGCGCAACCGAAAGGCGATATCGAGCCAGGAGGCTGACGAGTTCCCGACCCGAGGTCCGGAGGCCGACAGTGGACTCGCCGTATCCGGAGGAAGACTACGGAAGGAGACACCACCGAACTGTAAGTCCTTCACTCGGTGCCGCCGCTGTTAAATTAATGTAAGACCGGTACGGGCGACCCTCTCGGTCGCGGCTTCCGGAACGGGCGACGTATCGTGCTGAAATAAGCGATACCGAACTCCGATCGCCGAGACTCGTCCGAGCCCGTACCTTGGCGTAGACTCCACTGTCCGTGTCTTTCCCGTATCGTTCCCCTATCGTTTTCGTATCGTTTCGTGTCGTGCCCCTCGAAGGCGACGTTCCATCGAGTGAAACGTTGGATCGCGTAACGCGGGATTTATACCGTCCGGAACTCCGTGATTTAGTGCGTGGGCGCGCGACTCCAGTAGTTACCGAGATAGTACGTCCCTGAATCGCCGTACGCGCCGATACCGACTTTGTCAGGGGCGTCGAGCTCCTATATTCACGTCCCTCTGTTACCGAAGATTATTGCTGTCGCGTTATTACCGAAGAATTTTTGCTGTCGCGTTATTACCGAAGATTATCATTGTCGTGTTTATTACCGAAGAATTTCGTGTCGTGACTACCGCTCTCGCGCCGTGCCCGGAGGGGAGGGAACCTGTGGCAAATTTTGGCGCCCAACGTGGGGCCGCCGTCGTTAGAAGGCTATTTGGAGATTTGGCTTTATGTAGTTACCGAGTTTTTGCTTTAGTTACCGCCCTTTTGCTTTAGTTCCTGAATTTTTACTGCCGTTATCAGGGTTCTGCTTCCGTTACCGAAATTTTACGTCAGTTACCGAATTTTACGTCAGTTACCGAAATTTTGCTTCCGCTACCGAACTTTTACGTCAGTTGCCGAAATTTTGCTTCCGTTACCGAACTTTTACGTCAGTTGCCGAAATTTTGCTTCCGTTACCGAACTTTTGCGTCAGTTACCGAAATTTTGCTTCCCTTTACCGAACTATTGCTTCAGTTACCGAACGTTGCTTCCGAGGTTTGCGTCGGCTACCGGAAAGATATATAGAGAAAACCAAACTTTTTCCCTTCACCCCTCTATCTCCAATAATAATTGAAATACCTTGAGTCATGCGAATAGCTATAACTTAGGTATAATAGGGGTATAAGTTGTGTTCGTCTAGTTATGGTGAGTGGTGGTGGGGATAGTCTGTGACGTCCGTCTGGACCGAGCGAGGATTTCGCTCCGGAACTTTGGTGTCACCGGGTACGTAACGCGGCGCGAGCTGCCGCGCGAGCACCGCTACCGCGCGCGAACAGCTGATCGCGCCGGGCGACCACACGCGAGCACGTGAACACCGCGCGCGAGCCCCATACGCGAAGTCGAGCCAGGTAATCAGAGGAAGTAGAGACCCGGCTAAATTTAGCCGAGCGTCGAGAATTTAAGGTAGTTCTTTCGTAAAATCAGTTATGTGAGAATTGTTTCAAATTTTCACAGTTTATTCTTTACATAAATACGTGCAAAATAAGACTAATTAAATTAAAATTGACCGTCTCAAAGTTCTAAAAAAAATTGTTAAAGTTTACTATGTTACACGAAATATTACGTATAAAACACGTTAAAAATATTATTACATGTAACAATATAATCCGTTGTGATATTATTACATGTGAAATATTATTTACACATATTATTATGTTTTAAAATATTAATATTTGCGTTTTCAAACGCAAATGGTGGCACATTTTATTTTTTTAAAGCTTAACGATGAGTGAGATTTGTATGAGAAACAAATATGTTATAAAGTAAAATAGAACGAATAACTGGAAAAAAAATCAAAATTATTGACCGTTTCGTTTCAACAATATAAACAGTTCAAACTGAAAAATGGGAAAAATTATGTAGTAGACATGAGTGTAGCGTAGGAGATGTGGCAACAGCGCTTCAAACTTCAGCCGTATGGCTGACAAGATATAAGGCGCACGAACCTAATGTTTCAAAATTTGATGTCAAAAAGGAGTAGAATAAAAACTTTCAAGTATTTTTTATTACAAGTCCACATTATTATACGATTATATATTTATTTATTATATTATTATTTTATTTATTAATAACAACTTAGACTACTTATATGATATTTATGAAATCTGTGTTTTTAAACTTTTTATAAAAGAAATAAAACAATAAAACAAAATTTATATTTAACATAATAATAATCTAATAGTAATAGAGATCTTAAAAACATTTTAAAAGCATTACTGTTTATAAGTTTCAAAGAAATGTATAATTTTTTCCAAACATTTCTTAGCTTTGGTAACCTTTGGTTTATTATTATTATCTTGCTTTGATAATAATTGAATTAATCCGTCGCTTCCTTTTTCTTTGTTTGTTGCTAATAACATATCAAAATTTATTCCTGCAGTTGCAATTTTTTTCAGTAAATTATGAGACACCGTATTTTTTAAAGGCCTTAAAGATGGTAGTATTTTAGCACCTTCTTGATACGTTATCTCTTGAATTAAACAATCCGTGAATAACTTTTTAGATTTCAATAATT